TCAGGACCCCAGGATCATGACCTGAGCCAAAGGCAGATGCTTAACCCACTGAGCTACGCAGGCACCCCTAGAGGGCGATAGATGTTATGGAGAAAAAGCAGGGAGGGTGGTGATGGAGCATTTCAGATTTGCGACTTTAAGTCAAAGGTCTGGGGCCATTTGAGCCAATCTTTGGAGGCAGTAAGGGAGAGCGCCTGGTGAATATTTGGGGGGAAGGCATTGCAGGCAAAGGAAGGACAACAAGGGCAAGGGCCCCGAGGTGGGAGTCGTGGGTGGAATGTTCAGGGACCAGAAGGGAGGCCAGTGTGGCTGGAGCTGAATGAGAGGCATTGTAGGGACGGCTTGCAGGAGTAACTAGTTCAAAGACTCGACCCAAGGGATCATCAGAGACTTCCCTTGTCCACAAAGCTAAAAAATCATTAGGAAAGTCTCCCTAAGGCTCTCTGAGAAAGAAAACTTCGTCATCAGAAGTTCTCAAATCTACGTTATGAGAAAGGAAACGGGAAGAAAATCCACAGGATTGGATCCTGCCACGTGACCGGTATGGAGAGGCCTGCCTCTGAGTAATCTCCTTGATTGTCACAACCCTATGAGCTACAGTTCTCTATTCTTAACCACGGAAGAAAGTGAAGTTTGAGGAGGTTAACCCACGAGCCCAGGGTCACGGGAACCCAGGGTTTTCTGATGCTAAAGGGTGGGCCCTTTTCCCACTGAATGTTCTCTGGCCTGTGGCCATGGACAAGGGGAATCTGTTTCTACAGCCTCAGACAGCACATTCAAGTGAATGACGCCCGCTTCTGAGTGGGCACCCTGGGGGGGACTGGGACATCCCAAGGGTTATCATCCCTGTTGATGAAGTTTACTTCATCCTCATCATGGTGTCCTAGGCAACAAAGGTAAAAATAGTTCTGGAAACACAGCTCTGGACCCTAAGACCATTCCGACGATGTGGGTACTCATAAAGAACTAGCATTTGTGCAGTGGTTCATAGCTTACAGAACACTCCTTGGGGACACGAACAATTCCAAGTTAAAAAGATAAAAAGGGATGTAGAGTAACATGCCTGATGGATGCTTCTGGTGTCATATGCGGGACCAAGTGTTGGGGAAGGGGGGGAAGCACATTGGTCATGAAGGGCTAGGAAGGTCCGGGAAGGTCTTTTGGTGGGGGGGAGGGCAGGAAGGTTTTGCAGAGGGGTGGGACTCAATGAGAAGGGCAGTGTTAACAAACGAGAGTCGGGAAAAGAACATTCCATGTGGGAAAAGATAGGGAGGTCCAATGTGCAAGGCATGCAGAGGGAGGTTTGGGGAGGGATAGATAGAATCCACGGTCTTAAAGGAAATGGTACCCAGCCTGGAGCATCTCAAACACTGGTTACAGATGGAGACCCTAGAGCATCTAGAACACTGGTTACAGGAGCAGACCCTATGCTGTGGTTGCACGGGATCCATGGAAGGCTTTTGAGCAGTGGGTGATGCATATGAATCCAGATTGGAGACTCTGGTCACGGGATCTAGGGAGAGTTGAAAACATAAGATACCAGGGAAGGGGCCAGGAGTCTCAGCAAAAGCTCTCAAGTGTGCTAGCAGAGGCCACCTCATGGGTTGTTTCTTCCTTCCAGAACTCAGGGGCACACGAGAGCCAGCCTGCAAGCTTCTCTCCCCAGCCCTCCAGCCTCCACCCACCTTTCTCTGGAGCCCAGGCAGACAGCAGTCATGGTGCTGGGGGCACCCCTCGTCCTAAAAGCCCAGGGGTCCAGCAAAAGGTAGGCACCTGGAGAAGGGTTTAAACTCTGCCTCTTTCCCTCTTCTGTGGTCTTGTCCTCCAAATGAGGGGGTCCGAAGGCAGAAATAAATGACATCTTAGGTAAAAACAAATTCACTGGAAACAGAGTGACATGGATGTACCGATGGAAATTAGGGTGTTCCAAGGAGCCATTGCCGGGGGTCATCCTGGGAATCCCAAGGATGAACATGAATGTGGTCTGTTTGTGAAAATGACACGGCAAACGCACCAGTTTCCGTGGAGTCGAAGATTGGAATAGAGGCATGTGGGAAAATAATCATGGGAAAGAGGAAGGTATGCGGAGATGTGGAAAGGTCGAGAAAGGTACAGGGAGTTGGAGTCACGGTACAGACTCTCGGTGGAAAAAGGAGGAGGTCATACATCACAGCAGGTGGAAATCACAGGTGGGTGCCCTAAAAGGGCCCAGGCATTTCATAAAACACTCACCATACATGAGGCTGGTTCCTGAAGACATAGCCCGGCAATGGCTCCCCCTCTCTGCAAATGCACTTGGTTAGGAATGAAGTGCTCTGGGGGGTAAGTATACTCTGGGAATTCCTGGGGTGATGCACTTTTTCCTATTGGACTGGAGTCTTACTTTATTTGCTTTTCTCCTAACCGAAAAGGGTTCATCCTAGAGGTGGAAATGAGTCTGTAAGTTTCCCATCCTAACATGCCTCTGGGTACGCCCACGATGCGCCCATGCTATGTGCCTTTGTCAGTAGAAGGCCCATGATGTGTACCATTGTCAGTATATCGACGTTGTCTTCTAAACCCTAGCTCTCTTTTGTTCCCCTCCAATCAGTTGTTCCAGGTTCGAGCCTGGAGTTTATAAAACAGAAGCCGTGCCGTCTGTGACCCCACAAGTTGACTCTCTTTCTCTGCACCGTACCCCCACAGATGGCTGGTTTACACTCTTCTTCTGAGAAGACGGGGCCAAAGTTCTCCATTCCATCCCCAACTTTTTCCGAGTCCACTTCAGCCGTTCCAGAGATAACCCAGCCTCCGTCCTATGAAGATGCTGTCAAACAGGTAACTTTGGAAGATTTGTTTTCTGGAGGGAGACAGGCTGCCTAAACGGACCTTGTTTTTCATTAGTCACCTCCGTGCAGTTCGTAGATGGCGACACTGAGTGCGTCGGGGGCCCCTCGGTGAGAATGGGCCACTGCAGAAAGGTGCTGGGTGTGCATAGCAGGTGTGTGAGGCAGGCAGAGAAGATGGTGGGCTCTCTCGCTCTTCTGTCAAATAAATAAAATCTTAAAGAAGAAGAAGAAGAAGAAGAAGAAGAAGAAGCAGCCGCCGCCCCAGAAGCAGCCTTGTTCTTGGGGTGGAAGCCTCCCCGCCGAGCTCACTCTGAAGGGCTCTCCTGGGGTGCACTCTGCCTTCTCGCCTTCTCCTGTGCTGGATTGTTTCCTCCAGGAGTTTCCCCATCTGAGATGAACACTGGGCTTTAATCGCGCGGCCAGCAAGTTCAAGTCCTGTTCACAGCGGCATTATTCCCAAACCGCGGGAGCAACCCAGGGGGGGTGTCTGTGGATGAATGGTTAGCCAAAATGTGGTGAATACATACAATTAACCCTACTCAGTCTTTTAAAAAAGATTTTATTATTTGAGAGAGAGAGAGGGCACAAGCAGGAAGAGGGGCAGAGGGAGAGGGAGAAGCAGACTCCCCGCTGAGAGTGGAGCCCCAACTAGGGGCTTGATCCTGGGACCCCAGGATCAGGACCTGAACTGAAAGCAGATGCTTAACCCACAGAGCCACCCAGGCACCCCAATACTAGCCAGTCTTAACAAGGAAAGCGATTCTGACACATGGGGGAGACTGGGGGATATTACAGAGTGAAGTAAACCAGTAATAAGAGGAAATACACTGAGTGACCCCACTTCTCCAAGGTCTCTCGAGTCGCCCGATTCATGGGAACAGAAAGCAGAATGGTAATCGCCAGGGGCTGGGAGCTCACGTTTCGTGGGGACAGCATTGCCATTGGGGAAGATGAGAAAGTCCCGGAGACAGATGGCGGGGACGGTCACAGAATGTGAACGTAGCGTACTTAATGTCACCGCACCGTGTGCTTAAAGATGATGAAGACGGTAGATTCTATGTTGTGTTTTACCGAAATTAAGGGAAAAAACACACCTTAACTAAATCTAGCTCGCAAAGTCTGTCGTGCTGCTTCTGACGCACTCCCGTGGAAGAGGGGGCCAACCTTCTCACTTCTCTGTTCCCCTCTCCTTAATTGGCAACAGCAAATGACTCGGAGCCAGCAGATGGATGAGCTCCTGGACGTCCTCATTGAAAGTGGAGGTAAGACCACCTGTATCTTGCCCTTGGGGTGGATCGGCACCTGCTCGTGCTCTGGGGAGTGAGCCTTAGGACCAACGTCAGGAGCTCGCTGGAAGTCAGACCCAAAATCCACGAGGGGGTCAAGTGTCACTTCATGTGAGCTCACCGTCCACGCTGGAGCAGATGAAAGAAGGCCCAGTGGGGGATTCCTCCCTGACCTTGTCCCTCTGTCCTCCGAGCTGGACCACCAATCATTTTACCAGTTTGCATCCTCATCGTGGTCCATTTCCCTAAGTTTTTTTCCCTTGCTGTTCCATTTCTCTTTGCCTTTCTAATCCCAATCTCCCTATCCTCTTAATAATAATAAGAGGAGAACAGACAAAGCCAAGTTTTTTGCTACCTACTCGAAATGAAATTCAATTACTGACCTCCCGCTGGATGGTCCGTTCACGCTTAGATGTCATTCCAGCTTGTGACCATAAAAAAAAAAAAAAAAAAGAAAAGAAAAGATAAAGATCGACACGTTGTTTTTGCCTCCTTTTTAGTCATTCATTTATTTTTTCAAAGTTGCATGGTATGTGCCCAGAATCTGAAACCACATAGATGAATAAGCTCGTGTAAGGAGAACATGTAGATGGGAAAAAAAACCTCAGGTCTGAGCCTCTTGATAACAATCTTGAAAGTTCGGAGAAGGCAGGGCCCGGCATGGTACTGGGCTCAGTACTGCTCCTGACCAAGTCCGACCTTTGTGGAGCCTATGAGTCTGGGAAGGCAGAACGCACAGCAGGGAAGCAAACTGGCAGTTCCTCTCTCATAGCAAGAGGAAGAAGGAAAAGATGGGCTGATGTATCTTTATATGGATAAGAGGAGAGGGTGATATCAGACATCCTTATATGTATTTTTTTAAAAAAAAATAAGAGAGAGAGAGAGCAGGGAGAGGAGCAGAGGGGTAGGGAGAGGGACAAGCAGACTCCCTGCGGAAGGCAGAGCCCGACACGGGCCCTATCTCGCAACCCTGAGATCAGGACCTGAGCCGAAACCAAGAGTGGGACTCCCAACTGACTGAGCCACCCAGATGCCCCAAGACACCTTTCTATTTTTAATGAATTATATAGCCAGGTCAGTAAAGGTAAGGGCACAGGAGGGGAGCACAGGAGATTTGAGGACAGAAACATCATTTGAGGACAGTTATAAATCAATCACGGATGAATTTTCTGGAGAAACACAGGACGCTAGGTTATATTAAGTGCAATTGGTAGGTCTGTTGTCATACATCTAAATTGAGACCAGTCAGCTCCATTGTGTCATGTTTCTATTGGAACTAAGATTCATCCAGGTGTGGGTTTTTTGTTTTTTTTAGATTTTTCTTATTTGGAGGAGGGGGAGGGAACATGAGCAGGGAGAGAGGCAGATGGAGAGGGAGAAGTAGGCTCCTTGCTGAGCAGGGAGCCCAATGCGGGACTCAGTTCTAGGACCCTGGGAACATGACCTGAGCTGAAGGCAGAAGCTTAACCATATGAGCCACCCAGGTGTCCCTAGGTGTGGGGTTTTGCTAAGGGAGTGTGGTGCAAGGAGAAAAGAGCCAGGGGATAGAGAATATTTATAAGACAGCGGCTATAATGATGGAGCAGAGAATATTGTCCAGAGCCAGGGGGACTGATGGCTGAAGAACGAAGTAGAGTCAGTAAGTTGGAGTGGCCCCAGGTGGATAAGAAACTGCTATCATCGTGTGCTTCATATATGAACTAGAGGGATGGGAGGGAAGGACAGAGAGCGAGAGATCATGCCTGAGATTAAGCTTTCAGGGGGGATGTAGTATTTGGAGATGACAGAGTCCAGGGTGTACAACAGAGTGGGAATGGAGGAACCCATTGAGTTGGGGGGGGGGTAGGATGTCAAGGCACTAGAGGCCAGTGGACAGTCAAGTCACTTCCCAGGATGCTGAAGTCATAGGAAGGACAAGAGGTGAAGTGGGAAAGGCAGGGAACTGGAGAGTAGTTTTCATTGGATGCAGGAGAGAGACCAGGAGACGCGGGTTGAGCGGGGAGAGCGGAGTGACCCTCAGAACCACTGAGGAGCCATCAGGAGGAGGCAGGCCGACAATCGGAAAGTGACATGGCATGGCACCCAGTGACTCCTCTTCTGGCTCTGAAGTAAATGAGCCCCGCCTGTGGGTGTGAGGAGGATGCAGTGTCCTCGGGGGACAGCCAGGTGTCAGTGAAGGAGCGGGTGAAGGAACCTGCTTTGCAAGGTTGCTGATCAGAGTGGAAGTTCCAGAAAAAAGGGCTTGGGGAGAGACCAGGGAGAAGAACTGGGCACAGACAGGGCACTTTAGGGATGAGACTGGATGATAACTGGAGACACATGTCCATCTCGTGTCTAAGCGTGACTCCTTCCTCCCAAAGATCCCTATTGTGGAACCTGAAATGGTTTAACGGTTCCCATCGTGTTTTGCCAACAGAAATGCCAGCTGATGCTAGAGACGATCATTCGTGTCTTCAAAAAGTCCCCAAGATACCCGGGTCTTCCCGAAGCCCCCCAGCTGCCCTGCCCAAGCCCTCCTCTTCGGGGGGGCCACCTCTCCTTCGATCACTATGGCGCCGACAGCGATGAGCACCTTGAAGTCTTACTAAACTCCCAAAGCCCCTTAGGGAAAGTGGGCGATGTCGCCCTGCTGAAAATCGGGAGTGAAGAGCCTCCCTTCGATGGGATAATGGATGGATTCTCTGGGAAGGCTGCGGAAGACCTGTTCAGCGCCCATGAGATCTTGCCAGGCCCCCTGTCCCCGATGCAGACTCAGTTCTCCCCCTCCTCCGTGGACAGCAGTGGGCTACAGCTAAGCTTCACCGAGTCTCCTTGGGAGACCATGGAGTGGCTGGACCTCACGCCACCAAGCTCCACGCCAAGCTTTAGCTCCCTCGGCACAAGCGGCCCCAGCATCTTCAACATTGATTTCCTGGATGTCACGGATCTCAATCTGAATTCCCCCATGGACCTCCACTTACAGCAGTGGTAGACTGCCTGGGCAGAGGCGCTAAGAGAGGCCAGTGGGAATTTCATGGGGGGAGAACACACAATCCCCAATGCACTCCTATCGTCCAAAAAGAGGAGGAGGAGGGAATTGCAAAGAAACAGTGGAGACGTCTGTGACCAGCAACGAGAGCAAATCGCAGTCAGTTACTCTCAATGATTTCAGCAATGCATTCAGAGATGTGCTTTCTCAGATCAGAAATGCCAAAAAGAAAAAAAAAAATCTTTCACTACCTTTTCAATACCAATATTTTTGTAGCCCATGATTTTTCTCAGGCATTGTCTGGGCATAGTCTCACATCGTGGAAGCCTCTCTCGTGGGTTTATTAGACACAGTGCGGAATGGAAGTGGGGCTTTTCTGGGGTACAGGGACTGTAGCATAACCATTGGCGTTTCTGGAGAGTAGACCCATGGTGGAGGCTGCTTCCCAGCCTCCCTCCCTGTCTTTAAACAGAAGTCAGGCCCCTCTTCTGTTAGGTTCTCGAGGTAGGAGAGAGGAACAGAACCAATCCATTCCCAGGGAAAGAGAATCAACTCGGCCCCAAAGCCACCCCCTTGAGGTGGTTCCAGTCCAGGAACCCCGGACTGTGTGGTCACGGCTAACGATGAACCCACATTTGGTCCACAGAACCCCACTGAGAATTTCCCTCTTGGTCAACCAGTCACCAGGTCACTCCTGCTGTCTCCGTGGTCCTAAACACCATGAAACAGCCAAGAACCTTAAAGCAAACAAAACCCCAAACCTCTTGCCATGGAAAGTTCCCCACCACAACCCCCTTTAGTTTCAAAGACTGGAGGTGACCTCATGAGCAGATGGGAAGTCTATCTCTAGCTTCAGGAAGCCGTACCAGGGATCATTCAGACAGTGCTAGAAACCCTTGTTTCATGTGTCATGAGAATAAATACCATGGGTTCCTACAACAGGTTGATGATTTATGGAGGTCCAGCTTTTTTGGGGGGAAGGGGCTTGGGAGTCCACCTCCATTTTTCTTTCTCCCACTTTTCTTTCAAAATACCAATCTTTTCTTGTTCCTCTTTTGACACTTTTTTTCTGTCCCAACATCAAGAGGACTCCTTAGCTGTAAAAAGCTGCCACACTCCTAATAAAGCCATATTTTAAAAAGACCAAACTCCAGGTTCTCCCAGAGAATGCATTTTCCATATAGCCTCATTTGCTGGGGGGGGGGGGAGCCAAAAGAATGTCCTTGGAGGGGGAAACAAACAAACAAACTGGCGACTTGGCCCATCACCCCCAAACCTTGTTCCGCTCTCATTTTATATAGCAATCAGTGATTTGGGTGGTTTGGGGGAAATTGGAAATCATTACGTTGTAAAGATAAATCTGAATGATATTTGCAAGGAGAGAGGATGGCTGCTCTGGGCCGGTGAAAAGAAACACAGTTGCACATGGAAAAAGGAGGGAAAGAAGAAAAATAATGGTCTCCTGTGCCTCCCTCGTTACCTTGTGCTTTTGCCGGGAGTCGAAACACTCGAAGGGCAGGACGGTCTCTCTCAAGTTCACTGTGGCTCCACCGTTTTGTAGTGCATGCCGTAGAAAGTAGCTATTGCTGGTTGGTTGGTTGGTTTGTTGTTGTTGTTTAATTTAAATCACTAAGGCACTGTTTTCTTCTTTTGTAAAAAAAAAAAAGAAAAAAAAGAAAAAAGAAAAGAAAAAAAAAGAAATATTCACTGTGCACTTACGGAGAAGATAACCAAAAACATTGTGATTCTAGAAGTTCTCTTTTTGATAAACCAAAGATTTTAGAAGTCATTCCATTGTTAACTTGTAAACATGTGTGAACACGGAGTGTTTTTGGGGACCGCTACTCTGAACGTTGGCAGATCTAAGGGGGGGGTAGGTGTGCATATGTGTGTAGACATATGCGTGTCTGTATACATGCCATGTGTCTGTGTCTCTCCACATATGTTACATGTACGCAGTGTTACAGAGCACTCTCTACCCAAAGCCCTTAAGCCCCAGCTTGATGTGAAATGATACTTGGCCTTTCTCACTACGAGTTCCTGATTCACCAACAGACCCCATGTTGCCTCTCTGTGTATGACTGACGGCTCGAGCCCCGTGACTCACGGCCACTTGCTCACCGTAGACGCGCTCATCTTGACAAGGACTATGGACGTGAAGAGACACAACAGCTTCACCCTTAGTTGCCGGGAACGGTGAACACCGTCTCTCGTAGGAAAGCATCAGAGGGACACGAAGACCGTTCTTACATTCCTTGATCAGCACCGTGCTTTGAGAGATCCACACCGTACTTTTTCTTTTTCTTTTTTTTTTCCTCCATTTTCTCTTATGTCAGTCATCAGAACCAGGAGCCGAGAGGGAAGTGTTACCCATCTTTCCTGGGAAGGAGACAACTCTTACTAACACATTCCTCACTTTTGTTGGTCCCGAAGATGTTGACATTTTATTAGGATCTGGATGAAGCTTGCCGGTCAGTACATTTTTCGTGTGCCGTGTTGTACGACTTTATGTTAGTTTTGCACCCTTGCTGCCTTTGGAGAACAAACTCGCTGGGTCCCTACTCAGGCTGTTTCTAGCAGAAGGACTGGCCTTGGTTGGGAGGCCGCTGTGCTTTGTTAAGATGGTGCATTTGTCTGGAGACCCCGGTAGGATGTTACCAGCACTATACACGCATCACAGAGCAGACCCCTGGATTCCTGGTCCCAGCCCCCTCCCACAGGCCCCACACACTTATTTCCTCTCTCTCTCCATCCGTCAGGTGTGGCACTTACAGTATAAAACTAGGGATACCTGGGAGAAACTCGGAGAAGTCGGCTGCACCCAGTGAATCAGACCATGTTAATTCATCTATCTGCTCGTGGGAGTTTTCATTTTAAGGACTTTTAAACTGTTGAGTGCGTCCTCTTTTCTGGAGATCAGTGGGGTGTGACTGGGGGGATGCACGGAGACTTCTGAAGATGGCCACGTTCCAGCTTCTTCACACTCTCAGAGCTGCAAGGAGCCACATGTGGTTTTCTCAAGATTTCTGGGACTCCCATGGTGAAGCAGGCCCAAGAGAGTTTGCAGCCAACCCCAATGTTGCTGTGGCTGCGTGGGTTCAAGCTTACTCAGCAGAGTCAGAAAATGCATCTGTGCAAATGCTCTCATTAAGCTAGTGGTCATTAGTAGTAGCCCTGCTTCTAACAATATTATTGAGATGGCACGCGTTCTGTTTTAAGGAGGAGAGGGAGGGGGAGAAGACGGAAGGGAGGGGAGGAAGAAAGGAAGGAAAGAAGGAAGGAAGGAAAGGAGGGAGAGAGGGAGGGATAGAAGAAGGGAAGGAAGGAAGCAGAGAAGGGAGGAAAAGAAGGAAGGGAGGGAGGGAAAAAGGAAGGAAGGGAGGGAGGGAGGGAAGGAGAGAAGGAGGGAGGGAGGAAAGGAGCAAAAGAGGGAGGAAAAGAAAGAGGGAAGAAAGCCAAGAGAGTTTCCATCTGAATAGTCATGGGTCTGTGCACTGGTGGCCTTTGCCATTCAAAGACATTTATTTCTGATCTGGGAAACAAACAAAACCCTATCCCAATTATTTAAGACAGTCCTTTTCAAGATATATTTAAACTCCACCAACTCTTCAGAAACAAACACGGACCTGGCTGAAACTCCCACATCAAGTCAACTCACCCAATGGGCAATTCCTTGACGTCTGGTCTGCAGCGAGCACACCGATTCCCAGATATCCACTACTAATCGGACGAGGTACCCATGGTTCAGGTTCTGTGACTCGAGCTGTGGTTCCTACAAGCAAGAGCACTGGGAATCTCCTAGTCCTCAAATCAGAAACCCTTTGCTATGATTAAAAAAAAAAAAAAAAGTGGGGGGGGTGTGGTCTTCATTTTTCCAGTCCCTGTCTTTGACTTTACAAGCTCTCTATGCAAAAGGGACACTTGGGGTGGGGTAGGGGTGCCCACTGTAAGCCGGGCCCCTTAGGAGAAGAGCACTCAGCCTCCCCCTCCTTCATTCCTCCCAGTGGGAAGCCCACAAAGGTGGGCACACCGTTTGCTGTCAGGGATGAGTCAACTCAGAGTAAAAAGAGTCTGGGGTCTTCATTCTCTTGTAAGTCTCCTACAAATCTCCTATAAATCCAGATGGCCCTATAGTTCCAGGAACTGTTCAGGTTGTGTTAGGGAGCTGACATTGATTCTAGAATCCACATTTTCGGAGGACTCCTGGCTACCTTGAGACAACGCACAAGAAGACGATTTCAAGACAGGGAAAGACCTGGGAAGAATTTCTCTACCCTCTACCAGGGAAATTGTAATAGGACTCACTAGGGTCAACAACATAGAAGTAATGATTCTGCTTCTAGGATCTGGTGATTTCCCCAGTGGATTAGGACCAACAAACTCCTGAACATCTCATGCTTCTTTAATCACCAGCTCCCATCATGGACACTGGTCACCCGAGTTTCCTCTACAAATGGTTTAACAGCTCCCGAGTGTTTATGGAAAGAGGGAGTATAATGATGGGGATCTTGGATGCTATTCTAGTGTTTTCCAAAGGAAGAGAAAGCACCCTGCTCCCTAGAGTTCCCTTCCAGTGGGCCTGCAGTGAGGAAAAAAGGTGCTTGAAGCCCTCCGTTGGAGAAACCCAAAGACATACTTTGCAAAGAAATCAGAAAAGCCGGCATATGTTTTCTTGGGGGGGGGAGCTGTGTGTTGTGTTCACGTCTGTCTCCCTTGCTCAACTATACATTACCAGAAAGAAAGGTGGATTACCAGGAAAAGAAGCAATGGCTAAAGTACCAAAGTTGGCATGTGTTCTTTTAAAAAAATATATAAATATATTTTTAAATAAAATGTTTATTTTGAAAAAGACGTGAGCTTTCTTCCCACCCCCCCGACTGTACGGTACACCAGGCCCCATGCCATGCCTTTCACCAGTGCTGTCTCGTGCGTTCTCGAAACGGCACCATGAAACTACTGTTATTCCCGTTTTACGTATAAAGAAACTGAGGCTCAGAGAGGTT